CATACTATTCCTGAATGTTTAAAAAAATAAATGAAATTTATGAGAGCAGAATTTATTTCCTACACAGTAAAAATAATGAACAGAATAGAAAAACTGGAATCTGAGATGGCCAGTATCACCAAAGACACAAAAGAGAGAACAATATATTGGGAATTCAAAAATACAGAAGTGAAGAACAATCTAGAAGAAGAAAAGCAAAATAATAATAATAATAACATTAGAAGAAAATATGCTCACTATGCAAGAAAAACATACTGGTCCTGAAAATAGGAGACAAAGGGACAACCTAAGAGTCACAGGTGACAGGACAAAAAAAAAACACCCTTAACACTATAATGGAAGAAATAATAGAAGAGAACTGCCCAAAAATTCTAAACGTAGAAAATTAAATTCCAAAGAATTCACAAATCACCTCCAGAAAAAAAAAAATCCCAAAGCCGCAAACTCCAAAGCACATAGTGATTAAATTTAACAATTCAGTTCAGAAACAATAAGGTCTGTTAAGTTATCAGGAGAAAGACCTTCAAATACAAAGGAAAGGACATTCAAAAAACACAAGATTATTCTGCACCTACTAGAAAATGCAGGAAGGAAATGAATACTATGTTCTGAAGAGTAACAGAGCTCAAGATGCAACACAGGGTGACCCATCCTGCAAATCTGAGCTTAACTATAAAGGAAAAAAAAGACAGATGGTCAAGAATAAAGAAGAATTTGACTATTTTTTTGAAAGAAAATAACAACTGAAGAGATTATTTGCTCAAACACTCCAAATCACGGAAATGCAGGAGGAGTGAATAAATTCAACAAGCGAGGCCAGCAGGGGCAACAGAGTAACAAGAGAGAAACCAATAGAGACTTTTGTAAAGGTACACAAGGAGATGGGTGAAGGCAGAAATCTGGAAGAGAGAACAGTAAAGGGGACACTATGAACAGGACCTGGTGCTTTTTTTGTGGGACTACATTACAACATGGGAGGGTATATAAAAGTGGAAGAGGGGAGCAGGAGGACAGAGAGGTACATGTGATACACCAGGGTCCAATCAAGGGCTAATTAACAATGAGGGCATGATGACCTCTGTGGTGTCAAAAAGAGAGAAACCTACAGGGGAATAGTTGAGGAAGACGAGGGAAAGACTAAAGGGGGGGGAGAAAGGAGGCCTTACTTTGGAAGTAGGAGGAAGTTACACTGATAAATGCTCCTATGGGTAAAGAGAGATAGTCACTGAATGGAGATAAGGACTTTACACTGCATGAGGCCTAGGAGATTTGGTGCTTGAAAAGTCTACTTGTCCTACTTTGGGAGGTGAGGAGTTGGAACCCCTGGGGGCAACTGACAACTGGACGGGTAGGAGAACAAAAACACTGAGATGAGATTTCCAGGCAAATGTAGGAGAAAAAAGGGGGGGGGTCAACAGAGAAGGGTATAGAACAGTAGTGGATTACGCCAAGATATCATGGGGGAAGCAGCCCTACCATCGGGCAGTGGCCTCTCTGACACCTGCAATAGTTGGCACTGTTCTAGGAGTCAGGCACAATGGAAAAGGAGAATCCATGGAACAAGCTCTCCAAGGCAGTGGCATGAAGGTTCTAGAGGAGAGAACCTAGAATGCATACCGTGCAAGTTTTGATTGCATGAGGAACACAGAGAAAAAAAGAGACACCAGATGGTTATAGGAGTCATGAATCAGAGAATAAGGGTCTAGAGTAGACAAAAAGGGAAGACAGATGATGAAGAGAATGAGAGAAATTTCTAAAAATGGGTACAAAAAATGCCATTTTAAAAATTAGTGAATAGGACTATTTGAAGGGAAGGAGAGGAAGGGGAAAACTGTTTGACTAAGAAGAAAAAAAGGAGGGAAGGATTATATAATCAAATAAAAAAGTAGGAGAGAAAAAGGAACTTAAATAAACAAAAGCTGAAAGGAAAAGGGGTAACGAAGAAGAAGAGGGCAACAGGAACGAGGGGAAGAGAGCCAGTGGGAACAGGGCCATCTTAAAAAAAAAAAGGATTAAAGTAAAGTAACTGAAGAAATATAATAACACTGTGTTTACAGCAGAAGAGGGGAAAACATATAACTTGAAAAAATTTTAGAGACAGATGGAGGAAAATATAAACCTAACTCTTATAACTTTAAATTGAATGGATTAAACAATCCAATAAAATGAAAAAGAGTGACAGATTGGAGCAGAAAACAAAACCCTACAATCTGTTAGCTTGCAAGAAATACGTCTGAAAAGCAAAGAAATACACAAAATAAAACCGAGGGGATGGGAGCAAATTTAGTATACATCAAGTGAATCCAAAAAAGCAAAATCAAACATTCAAAAAATAAAAAAGCATAAACAAGGAAATTACATTATGCTGAAAGGAACCACAGACAACAAACCAACATTAGTATTAAACCTCTATGCTCCAAATGCTTTAGCATTCAAATTCAAAAGAGAAACATTATCCAAGCTTTAAGAAGACATAGACAGTAATACAATAGTGTCAAGAGATTTCAATATCCCTCTGTCCATTTTGTATAAAAAAGTCCAGCAAAGATAAACAAAAGGGAAAATATGGAACTGAACAAATTCTGGAGAAACTACAGTTAAAAGACTTATGAAATCTTCTAAATGGGACAGCAAAAGAATATGCATATTTCTTAGCACCACATGGAACTTTTAGAAAAATTGGCATGCACTAGCACATAAAGATATTGCAAACAAATGTAAAAAGGCAAAAAGAGTTAATATTTTATAGACTATGACACAATAAAAATAGAACTTGGTTGACGAACCCCAAACCAAAAGATATAGACCCAAATGGAGACTTAATAATGAAATCCTAAACAATAAATAGGTCAAAGAACAAATCACAGAAACAATTAATAACTATGTAAAAGAAAATGATAATGATGAACCAACATACCAAAATTTCTGAGATGCAGCGAAAGCAATTCTTAGCGGGGAGTCCTGTCTTTACAATCGTACATTAACCAAAGAAAAAAACAATTAATAAACCAATTGATTGCATGAGGAACACAGATTAACAAACTGAATATGCATTTTAAAAATTGGAAAATAAACAAAAATAAAAGAGGAGATGTTAAAAATTAGAGAGGAAATAGATAAATCAAAAACAAAAAATAGAAATGATAAATAAAACTAAAAGCTGGTAGGTTGAAAAGACTAATAAAATTGATAAACCCTTAGCTAATCTGATTAGAAAGAAAATCAAATCAATAAAATTGTAAATAAGTAAGGTAAAATCACAGCAAAATCAGGAGAAATAAAAAAAAATACTCAAAATATATTATACACAGTTATATGCAAGTAAAACTGAGAACACAAAAGAAATAGAGGAATACCTTAAAAAATATAAAATACTCAAACTATCAGAAGACCAGATAAAGATCTTAAATAATTTAATCTCAGAAAAGAAAATAGATATAGCTATAAAGAAACTACCAAAGAAAAAAACTCCTGGTTCCGATGGATTCACTGGTGAATTCTATCAAACTTTTAAAGAACAATTAGTACCCATATTTCACAAATTATTCTCAAAAACTTGAGAAAGAAAGCACTCTACCAGAATCCTTTTATGAAACAAATACAGTCTTAATAATTAAACCAGGGAAAGATAAAACATAGAAAGAAAACCATAGGTCAATATTAAGACAACTCTAAAGTTCCACCTCACGCTCAAAAGATCAGCCAAGAATAATAATAAAAAAAAAAACTGGCAACTGTTGGAAGGGCTGTGGGAAGACATTAAGGCATGCATTGCTTGTGGAGATGTGAATTGATATAAACTTTCTGGAAAGGAATTTGGAACCATACCCAAAAAGTCAATAGATTGTACATATCCTTTGACTCAGTGATAATACTATAATACTACTAGGTATATATACTCCAAGAAGTCAAAGATAAAGGGAAAGTACATTTGTGTGTGTGTGTGTGTGTATGTGTGTATATACATAAATACAGATATGTGTATATGTATATATACATGTATGTGTACACACACAGAGCACTTTTATAAAGGCATTTTTTATTGTAGAAAAGACCTAGAAACATTAATTGGAAAATGGCTGAACAAATTATGGAACATGTGGCTATAGAGAAACCTAGGAAGAATTGTATGCACTGACGCAGAATGAAGCGAGAACTGGGAGAGTAATTTATACAATGACCACAATAATATAAAGGAAGACAACATTAAAAGACTAATTCTGGCCAATGCAATGACACTGTTAGACTGCTGATGAAGCATACCTCCCATCTCATAGCAGAAAGGTGAAAGGTGAAGAATGAGACACACGTTTTTGGACATCGTCAATGTGTTGGCTTGTTTTGCTCGACTATACTTATTTCTTACAAGGAAAGGCTTTTACTGGGAGGCAGACAGGAGGGGAGGGAAGTCAGTGGGTAATAGTAATGATGTGATTAAAAAAAGAAGAAAAAAAGAAAGGAGGATCAATGAAATGTTAAAATACATAGTAGAGAACAGAAAGAAAAATATAAGGGGACACAGAAAAGGAGAAAAGTTTTGGTACTACTGTGTTCAATTTAAAATATACTTTAAAAAATAAGTTATACATCACAGAAATTCAGTTTCATATACAATTTTATTTTCTTTTTCCTGTTCTTTGTATATGGAAATGTTCATGTTTGTTAAGTTCCTAATTTAAAAGAAAAAATTTATTCTTTGATGGTTAACAGTTTGTAGCTTTATAAAGGTCCTCAGAACATTTTTTTTAAAAAAAACTATTTGGCACTGGTTAAAAAAAAAGAAAAAAGAAAAGCAGATCAGTGGAACAGACCACCAGATAATGAATAATCAGAACCAACTGAGCTCAGTGTAACTCAGTAGTCAATAAACTCCAAAATATAAATTACTCGGGGAAGAACTCTCTATTTAACAAGAACTGATAAGAACGCTGAAAAGCAGTTTGAATTAAATTTGGTCCAGACCAACCATTTACACCATATACCACAAGAAATTCCAAATGGATACATGACCTGCATACGAAAGGCCATACAATAAAAAAAAAAAAAACATAGAAGAAAATGGCATCAGGCACCTTTCACAGCTACAACTAGGAGGGGGATTCTTGAGGGGTTTTTTTAAAATAAATTTTACATTTTTAAAAAGTAGAACAGAAAAAGAAGATAATATGCAAAACTGCAAATTTCTATATAATAAATTCAACATGTTATTTTCAAGCTGACCTGCTTATCTGTGTCACCTTCTGAACTTCCTTCTGTGCAATTTTCCAAAATGCTTCAATATCTTCTTTTATCTCTTTTCTTTTTTTCTGGCAGCATTACCATTCACCATACTCTCCCACCAAATCCCTCTCCCCAACGAAAACAAAAACAACACCCTTGTAACCGATAGGCATAAGCAAGCAAAGCAAAGGCTCACACTGGTGGTGTCCAAAACTCTAGGTCTCATTCTATATCTTGAGTCGATGACCTCTGCACCAGGAGGCAGTCAGCACACTTCATCACTGCCCCTCTGGAATTCTAGTAAGTTACTACATTGACCAGATTTAATAAGTCTTTCAAAGGTTTGTTATTTATTTAGTTAGTTGTTTATGTTGTTATGGTATAAATTGTTTTCCTAATTCTGCTCACTTGGCTTCAAGTAAGTTCAGACGAGTCTTCTCAGGTCTTCTCCCTGAATTCATGTCTTCTGTCATTACTTACGATTGCAATAATTATACCATCATTTGTTCAGCCATTCTGGAGTGAAAATTCTTGGCCAAACAAGAAATAGCGACAGTGACAAAAAAAGAAACCAAATAGTTTTAACGACATGAAATTTTAAAAGATTTTGTAGAAATAAAATTGACACAATTAGTGTAAGAAGGTAAGTTAGCAGATTAGAAAAAAACAACAACTTTACATCAAATATCTTCGATAAAGGCCTGATTTCCAAGATATATAGTAAATTTATGGGAATATGAGACTAAAAGCCATTCCCTAAAACTAGACCCAGAGTGGTTAAATGACAAGGCAAGGTACATAGCAGATCTGGGATTCTAATTCAGTTTCTCCAACATCAGATACAGTATTCTTTCCATAATCACAATAACCTGAAATTCTCTAGGGCTCTAATGGATATAAAGTACTTTTCTTTAAAAAGCAACTTCTATGCCACAGATGGTACAAATGTCATCCACACTTTCCAGATGAGGGAATTGGGGTTACATAATTGGTGGGCTGTATACCTAGTGAACAGCTTCACCAGTATTGGAATTCAAATTTAGCATGTTTTCCACTACAGAATGCTAAAATGTTTTCTAGGATGTGGTAGCCAATCCAGAAGCCACCAAAAAAAGAGTCAGTGACTTCTCTGTGCCTCCAAAGAAGGGCACAGACAATCAAGGTGAGTGTTTTAACTGCGTATTGGCACCTAGATGGGTGGGACTCACGGTTGGGCTTTGATCTCCTTTTAATGTCATCTTCTAGCATGCCCAGTTTTCTCTAGTTTAAACTAAATAGAGTTTGATGTTTCAAGCGTATCTTGAGCTCCTCAGAACAGCTCAAAATTGGTTGTGATGTTTTTTGCGATATGTCAGACACAGAAATAGCAAGTCAACCAATCTCATAAGTCGCCAACTCATGGCAAATGGTTAACCATAGCGCAAATGGCCTCGGAGTTCAGGTTATCTGTAAACACTTACCTAGTTACCGGTTGACTCATTACTTAGGTTCCTCCACCATCCTCTCAGGTCCAGTCTTCCTTCCTCCTCCCTTTTCTGAGAGTAGCAAGATCTTCCACTGGTACCACTTGATCAGCTGGGATCAAAAGTGAAACAGGATAGTTATTTGTTTGGTTTTTTAAATAAATAGCTGTATTCATATTTTTTCTTACATCATTATAGGGCTGTTGTGGCAAATGTGCATGCACATTTTTTTTTGGTCTGGACTTGTAATTTCACCAAGGGAGGAAAAGCCTACCAAAGCAACTGTTGTATGTTTTCATCTTAGGAAGTTGCCCAAGACAAGAGGTTAAGAGGTTAAATGATTTATCCAGGTTCTCGCAGTCAGTATCACAGGTATGACCTGAACCCAAGTCTTAATGACTGTGATGCTGGTTTTTGATCCAGTACCTCCTTCTTGCCTTGCAGGTTGCTTTTCAGTACCACTCTTTGTACTAGGCACCTAATGAGAATTTGTTTAATTGAACTGAATCTTAGGATCCAAGATGGGATACAGCTTTAGAGACATTAGTTATAGAATTACACATCTAGAGCTAAGAGATCAGAGGCCATCAGCCCAATACCTTCATTTTGCAGAAGAAACTAAGGACCACAAGGGCCTTTGACTCCCAATACAGTGTTGTTGGGGTTTTTTTCCCACCACTTTCCCCCTAGAAATCCTGTAGTACAAAGCTAAGCAACCCTTTAAACCAGAGAAATGGTGTCAAGGTTCAATTAAGACAACTGGAAGTTGAAGGCTGGTATATTATTATTTATGTCACTTGGTAAATAGTATAGCAAGTGATTGCTTCTATTGGAACATTATTTCATGCTTCACCCCCTGCACCTCTCCTCTCCTCATTCTGAAACTGAAATAAATCAACTCTGCTATTATTCTTGGATGGGGGATGACAGTCTACACCCCTATGACCCCACTCACCATCCCTGTAAACTTCAGACCAAAGTATCTCTCCCTGGCCTCACTGATTTCCTATGTGTGTTTTCCCCAATCAGAGCAGGAGGAGAGCAGGAACTGTCCTTGCTTTTGTCTCCTGCCCTCATGTGTTTGGCACAGAGCAAGGCTTAATAAACTTTTTTCCTTTGCTCATTCTTAGCACCTAACTATTCTGGAGGAAATAATGGTACTAAGGATGGGTAAATGACATGCACTTTGGCATCTTGCCATTGTCATCCCTACAATTTGTCATCGGCACCAGCTTTTGCAAGTGGAAGGTTGGGGAAATCAAGAACAAAGTGGCTAGAAAGGAAGACAGAACTATTCTCTCCAACTTTGGGGACATCACCCCCTATTTGACATTGCCTTATGTGTGTTACACGTATGGGAGGAAGTGGTGAATGCCAAATATAGAGGAGAGATGATGGGGGTAGAAAAGCAGCTATTCTCTACCTATGATACGTACCTAATTATTTATATGCAAGCTCCCAGGAGGAAGGGATTGTTTCTGCCTTAGTCTAATGCCTGTAGCATAGAAAGTGCTTAATTAATGTGTTAATGGACTGCAAATCATAGACTACTAACCATTTTGACAACTATCTACAAATGTGCTAAGAGATCTCTTTGCTTAAATTTGACCAGACTTACAACTGGCAAGAGTATGACAGCTGATGAATGATTTGGAGTTCATTTACTTATTATACACAGTGTCCCAAACAGCTTGGTGCAGTTTTCAGTTTGGTGGTCGTTTTATTCCCCCCCCCCCCGTACAAAAGACTTTTGGGACACCTTGCATAAAGATCCATCAGGTGTATTCATGTTGCCACTATCATATCACATTAAGGTCATTTACATATGTGATTAAGGTAAACAAAAGTCATATTAACCAACAAACCTGTTCTTTTAGATTTCCTGAGTTGTTTTTTATCTTCTTTGTTTGCTTGGCTTAGCTACAGTGGGTGTCCCCAAAGTCCTAATATAGTCATAAGCTTCAATAGCTTTAAAGGGCACTAAGACTTTTGGGACACCCTGTACTATGTCTCTATCTCTATAAAGCTATAGATAAAATGGAAGATGGGGATGTAGATCAAACAAGATACCGAGATATGGATTTAAAATAAAAAAAACAGGAGAAAATTCAGAAGGAAAGAGATATAAATGGATGGATGCTTAATTCAGAATGGCCAAGCTTCGTTGTACTAGAAAAGGTGTGGTGGATTTCGCATCAGCCCGCCTCCACTGAGGCTGCAGCTGTTTTCGATCTGAGATGTGGCATGAGCTCTTTTTGTGCAGACTCTGCTTGCAAGGATGGCGTTTATGGAAAGGTGAGCCATGATTTCGGGAGCTCCGCAGTCAGTCTGGGTTATGACGCCTTGTCGCATACAAGGTAGCTAGCTAGCTGGTTTTGCCCCCCGTCCCCAAGACACACCGCGCCCGCCCCCACCACCCCACCCTGGGAAGCACGAGCCCGCCAGTGCCTTGGCTGCCTCTTCCACCAGCATCCTCTCCCCCACCCCGGGCTGGGTGAGGGATGCGACCCCAACCCAAGGACCAGCCAAAGCCCCTGTAGTGAAGCAGGGGTGGGGAGCCCGGGGCCGCTGGGCTCGAGGGCCGCTGGTACGCACCATACTGTCTGACTGGTGGGGGGTTGGGGGGGAGAGGGCAGGGCCCCCAATGACACGTTCACTTCCTCCATCTCCTCCATCTCCATCTCCTCCTCCATCTCCATCTCCTCCTCCTCCTCCTCCTCCTCCTCCATCTCCATCTCCTCCTCCTCCTCCTCCTCCATCTCCATCTACTCCTCCTCCTCCTCTTCCTCTTCCTCTTCCTCTTCCTCCTCCTCCTCCTCCTCCTCCTCCTAGGTTTGGCCCCAGTCAGTTTGGGGGGCTCTTTTTTGCTTTCAAAGAACTCCCGTTAGAGGAACAGAAGCACCGCCCCCCCGAGTTAGAGCCCCCCTCTCTTCCGACGGCCTCCACAGCGCCACCGCACGGAAAGCCCAAAACCTTGGTCCTCCCCTCTTGGTCCAGCCTCCGTCCCGCCTACGCCAACAAGCCAGGGGCGGGGCCTATATAAAGAGTGAGCTCCCGTTGCCCGGCACCGGAAGTCTAGCTGTCGAGTACCATGGAGCCGGCTAAGATGGCATCTCCCAAGAGCGGGCCAAAGGATGCTCTGGTAGGTGCAAGCGAGGCGCGCAGCTGGTAGGCTCCGCGCCCGCGGGTAAAAGGGAAAAGAGGGCGAGGGTCCTCCAGCTGCCAGGCCCGACTGTGGCTGTCGCCCCCGGCACCTCGGCTGGGTTTGTCTGCAGCCCCCCCCCACTCCCCCCCCCCCCGCACTGCGGATAGTCCTCCAGCTGTCGGTGTAGCCTTCAGGCTCCTGAGCTTCTGTCGCAGAGGCCTCTCCGCGGCGCCTGCCCCACCCTTCTCCCCCCCCACTCTCCGAGGGCCTGGTCTGGGCCGTAAGCTGTGCCAGCCCCCCAATACCCTCCAGTCCCACCGCCCCCGCAGAGGCTCCTTTGGCCGTCCGATTCTCTTTGGGATTGGGGGTTTTTTTGTTGTTGTTGTTTGTGTGTTTGTTTTTTCTTTAACGATTGACGCCCTCTTTTTTCTTCGCATCATCGCCACTACCCATTGCCGCCCCTCCCCACCTCCGCATAGAACCCACCCTTGCACCAAATAATTACAGTCCAGCAAAGCAAATCGACGCATTGACCGGCCAGAAAATGGATGCCACCAATGCGGGAATTTGTTTTGCTGGGCAGTGAGGTTGTTGTTTTATATATCTATCTATAGCTATCTAGATAGCTATAGATAGCTATAGATAGATAGATGTATATTTTTTCCCTTTGCTTTCTCTGGGGGGGGAGGCGGCTCGGGGGAGGGAGGAGGTGGGCGGGAGAGAAGTCGGATTTTTGTTGATCGGAAAAATTAAAACGTCATTAAAAAGAATAAAATATATTGAAACCATATAGAAAGAAATTTTTAAAAAAGAAGAAAATGAACATGTACCTCCTTCTAGTCAGTCTGTCAGCAAGCATTAATGGCTTGCTATGCGCTAAGCGCTGCGGATACAAAGAAAGGCAAAAACAAAACAAAACAAAACAAAACAACCTGGCTCCTTGCTCTCAAGGAGCCCACATTCTAATAGGGGGAGACAGTATGGAAAAGATGCTGCACAGACAGGCTGTATAGAAGATAAAATGGGAGGTAATGGCCAGAGGGAAGGCGCTAGCATAGAGAATGATCGAGAAAGGCCTCCTGCAGAAGGTGGGATTTTAGTTGAGACTTGAAAGACGCCATGATTGGTTCACTGTACTGATTGGTAGTCAATCTTTCAAGGTTGTTTTCATTTACATTTACTGAGGTCATCCTGTAAATTGTTATCCTCGTTTTGCCTACTTCACCATCATTGTGCCTCTTTCCACAGCCCCTGCGACATTTTTTACCATTTGGGTCTTTTATCATCTTTGCGAATCTGAAGGGTGGGAGATGAAACCTCAGTTGTTCGGATTTGGATTTCTCTTATTAGTAATTTGGAGTATTCTGTCATATGGTGGTTGATCACTTGAATTTCTTTTTTTTAAATAAAATTTTATTGCTATCTTTTTTATATAACCAAAATGTCTCCTAGCAACCCTCCTCTTTCCTTTTCCCTCCTCCCTTTTCCCTCCTCCCTTTTCCCTCCTCCCCCTTCCCAGAGAGCCATCTCATATAACAAATAACATTTTTCAAGGGGAAAAAAAAAGGAAAAATAGAAAAATAAATCAGCAAAAATAATCAATACATAGAAAAGTCTAGAAAATATATGCAAAGTACCACACCTTTGGACCTCCCACCTCTGTAAAGCAGGGGGAGGGGGAGCGGGGAAATCTCCTCATGTTGTTCCAGGACAAAATGAGATAATATAGGTAAAGCATTTTGCAAACCTTAAATGTTTTATAGATTCTAGCCAACAGTTATTATTATTGTATGATAATATTAGCTAGAATTTATGTAGTCCTTTAAGAACAAATGGTTGATATTAATATTGTATTATTGATCATACTATTATTAGTATATCTTTTCTTTGGGGCCATATGTGTTACCTGTAATTTTGCAACAATCATTTTTTATTTTTTATGATCCCTTCAATTTACATTGTTGCACAGACTGTTTTTTGGCTCTGCTTCATGGTGCATTAAATCTTAAAATTTTTTCTTTTTTCTCTATTAATCAAATTCCTCATTTCTTACAGTAATATTCTATTACATTCATGTACCAAAATTCAGTTAACCGTTCCCCAATCAGTGGGCATCTAACTTTATTTCCAATTCTCTGCTATGTCAGAAATGCTGCTATAAACATATTGGTATACATGGGGTCTTTCTTCTTATCAGTGATCTCCTTGGGATACAAATCTAGTCATGGAATCTCTGAGTCAGACATACAATATGAACCTTTCAGTCATTTTATTTGAGCAATTGCAAATGCTTTTCAAAATGGTTGTTCTGAATCACAGCTCCACAGTGCACTAATGTACTTTATTGACCCCTCCAACATTAACGCTTCCCAGCTTTTGTCATCTTTGCCAGTGTGCTGTGAGATGAAACCTCAAGATTGTTTTGACATACATATTTCCTGTTAGTGATTTTGAATATTCTTTCGACTTTATACATTGATCTCCATATATTTTATGCATTTTATAGTTATTTTCAATGGGATTTCCTTTTTTATTTGGAATTAATCAACTAAAGTAACTAAAAGGTCCATACCTTTGACCCAGAGATTCCACTATTACATTTATACCCCCAAGGAGGCCATTGACAAAAAGATCCTCATATACACCAAAATATTTATAGCAGCATTTTTTGTTACAGAAGAGAATTAAAAACAAAGCAGATGCCCATTGATTGGAGAATGACTAAACAAATTGTGGTCTAAGAATATAATGGAATATTGCTGTGCCGTAAGAAATGACAAATATGAAAACAGAGAAGCAGGGAAAGATCTACATGAACTGATGCAGAGCAAAGTAAGCAGGGCCAAGAAAACAATATACATAGTGAGTACAATAATGTGAACAAGAAGGAACCACCACAAAAAAAAAATCAGAAGATAATGTTGCAAAATTACAAAGAACAAGCATAGCCCCCAACAAGATATGAGAAGACACCCTCACACACCCCTTGGCAGAAGTGGGAGGGCAATGAATGTGGTACACTGTACATATTTTAGACTTGCAATGTCTTGATCAGTTTTGCTGATGGGGGGGCAGAGTCTTTAAAATGTTATTTGTCATATGGCATGGCTCTTTGAGAGGGCAAGGGAAACTGGGGGAAATTCTGGTGATGTAAAAAAGACATCAATAAAAAAAACTTATTTAAAAAAAAGAAAAAGGACTCTCAATTTGATAGGAGAAATTTGGGGAGTTGTGACTTTTTAAGTAAAAGGTCAATCACTGAAAGCCAGGATGCTCTCATATGAGCCATTGAACTCCAACTACTACAGGGAGAGAGCAGCAGGCGAAGGGCCAGAGAAGACAGCAGCAGCAGAGGAAGAGGAGCCTAAGAAGAAGTGAAGACAGCAGGGGTAGGGTGAAAAGCTGCTCAGTCTGGAGCTCAGACAGGTAGAGGAAGTCAGCTGAGAAGGCTTCAGCTGAGTGATTTCTGATTGGTCAGGGAGAACTGATTTCATTGGTCAAGAGTACCAGCGTCACCTACAGTTGGAGAAAAGTGCCCCTTTTCTTAAGGACTTGTTACTCTTTGCTGCCACCTCTGGTTGGAGAAGGAAAAGCAGGGGGTGGGAGTTGTAACTGCTGAGGTATCTGAAGGTGAGCTGGAAGTGAAATTGAACTGTTTTGCTGTAAGCCCCATTTTGATTGTACAGCGTAACATCCAATTGGCTGGTCTAGTCTGTATATCTCAGAAATAGCCAGTTTGTTGAGCTTGGCAGCTTAAAGAGAACTGCTACTAATGTTAAGAGTTAACACTTCCTGGAAATACTTTTAAGGGTGGGTGATGGTTATTTGAAAGAGTTTATAAAGGATGTATCTGATTAGAGAAGAGGAAAAAGATTTCCCCAGTCTTTGGTGTAAAAAAAAAATGTTTCTGCGTGAACCAATGACAATGACCAGAAGTCTAGAGTTGTGAGTTACCCTGAGCCCATGGTTCCCCCCCTCCTCTAAGTGTGACCCCATTCTTCACCATAGCTATTGAGTACATTGTTATAAGAGTATGATGTGGGTTTACATGTGTTGTGGATTTATTTTATTTATGTACTTGATTTAATAAAACAGCATTTGTAATATTTCTTTTGTCTAATTCAGTGATTGTGTTTGAATTCTAAAGAAGAAAAGATTTTCTTACCCATAGCTGCAAAAAATATAAGATCTGCTTCTCTTCTAATAATATGATCTTGAATATTAAGGTCATGTATCCCTGTAGAATTTATTGTGGAATATGGAACAAGATGTTGATTTAACCCTAATTTCTGCCAGACTGCTTTCTTAGGTTTCCCATCAGTTTTTATTAACTAGGGAGTTCTTCCCTGAGTAATTTATGTTTTCTGGTTTATTGAACACTGGGTTATTGGGTTCTATTTATAAATTCCATATTTTAAAACAAATACCAAATGGTTGATAACTTCTTTATATTTTGAGGTCTGGGAGTGCTATTCCTCCTTTATCCCAACCTCTTGATATTCTTTCATTCCTTCAAATGAATTAGTATTTGATTGAGTTCTGTGAAGTATCTCCTTGACAGTTTGATTGGTATAACATTAAAACTGCTAGTATTGTTACTTTTATTATATTGGCATGGCCCAGCCACCAGCATTGTGAATATTCCTCCAGCTATTTACATTGTTGCCACACAGGTTTTGTTATTATGTATAGAAATCTGTTGAGTTTTTCGAGTTCATTTTTGTAACCTGCAGTAATGCAACTGTTATCCTAATTAGTGTCTTTGCTGATTTCCTTAGGATTTTCTAAGAAAACCATGGCATCAGCAAATACAGTTTTATCTCCTCATTACCTATGTTATATGATCTGCTTCTCTTCTAATTTTTAATGCTATTATCTTTAATGTTAAGGTCACATATCCATTTAGAATTTATTGTGGAATATGGCATAAGATTTTAATATAAGCCTAGTTTCTGCCAGTCTGCTTTACAGCTTTCCCAGTAGTTTTTAATCAAAAAGAGTTCTTTCCTAAATAATTTTATGTTTTCTGACTAACACTGGATTATTGAGTTCCATGGTTTCTGATTCTTCCTTGTCTAATCTGTTCCACTGATCTCTCTCTCTCTCTCTCTCTCTCTCTCTCTCTCTCTCTCTCTCTCTCTCTCTCTCTCTCTCTCTCTCTCTCTCTATTTTTCAACCAATACTAAATGGTTTTGCTGATTGCTGCTATATAATGTAATTTGAGATCTGGAAGTTCTGTTCTCCCTTTATCCCTCCCTCTTTTCATTATTTTCCTTGTTATTCTAAATCTTTTTATTTCTCCAAATGGATTTTGTGTTTATTTGATTCAGTTCTACAAAATATCCCTTTGATAGCTTGGTATAGCATTAAAAGTGTAAATTAAACTTTGGTATTGTGATTCTTGTTATATTGGCATGACTCAGACATGAGCACTGAATATTCCTCTAGCTATTTAAGTTCTTTATTTCTTTAAGTAGTACTTTATAAGTGAATCTTTCCAAATATTTAGCGTACTTTGGTAGATTCCTAAGTATTTTATACATTTTGTAGTTATTTTGATTGGGATTTTCCTTTCTATTATGGCCTTTCGGACTTTGTTATTATATAGAAATACTGGGGGGGGGTTGTGTGTGGATTTATTTTGTAGGTTGCAACTTTGCTGAAGCTATTGTTTCAATTGATATCTTTGCTGATTCTCTAGGATTTTCTAAGTAAATCATCATGTTGTTGACTAATAGGAATAGTTTTATCTCCTCTTTACCTGTCTTTATGCCTTAAATTTCTTTCTCTTGTCTTACTGCTATTGTTCGTGTTCTAGAACCATTATCACATAATAGTGGAGAGAGTGGGTGTCCTTGCTTTATTCCTTTATTTATTGAGAAAGTTTCTACTTGCTTTTTTTCTTTTGAAAACTGCCTGTTCATATCCTTTGCTCATTTATTTTGGAAGAATGCCAGCCTCATTCTCCATCCCCAAAATGACAAGACTGCTAAAGCCACTCCTCCAGAAGCAAACTTCCGGGGGGGGGGGGATTCACACACAGGCTATGTAAATGTTCTCAAGATCCTATGTCACACCCACCTTTTTTATTTTTTAACTAAAAAATTACATATAGAAACTTGGTGAGATTGTTAACCCTCAAAGAAGGAAACTAGTGACTTTTGGAGTTTATACAGGGAAAGAGTGGGAATTCATTTGGAAGTCTTTTAAGAATTGGAGACACTTAGGTATTCAGAAAAGGTGCCGTGTCTGAAATCTAGATACGAAATAAAAATAAAGGGAACAGTTTGCTTTCCAGGTGACAGTAGGTGTGACCTTGGACTGCTTTTAGGCAAACTTTAGAGTTCAGTGTTTAGGCTGTCTGTTTTGGTGAGGATAGCTTACTACTTTATTTAAACCCACAGGTGATGGCACAAATCCTGAAGGATATGGGAATTACAGATTATGAGCCAAAAGTAATCAATCAGATGCTGGAGTTTGCCTTCCGTGAGTGACCCACAAAACAAAATTTCTCTAATTCAGTCAAATAATTTGATACTAATGTCTTCTATAATTCTAATAGAATTGTATTTTCTACGTCAGCCACATAAACCTAATCTTAAAGTACACAAAGTGGGCTGAACTCAGAGAGGGCAGTTATTATTTTTATTGTGGTAAGTATTTAAATGGATAGTATAAGGCAAACTTTCTCTCTCTCTCTCTCCATATATATATACACACATTTATATATATATATATATATATATATATATATATTATATATATATATATATATATATATATATATATATATATATATATATTATATATATATATTTAGAAGCCATAACATCTCAAATTAATAGTCTTTAAAAATAAATATTCCTATAACATAACCCAAATAAGACTAAGCCTTTCTCATATGTCTAAGAGGAAATTGTCTCCATTCTCAAAGGATATGTAACAACAATTTTGGATGATGCAAAAATTTATTCAAGCCATGCTAAGAAAGCCACTGTTGATGCAGATGATGTGCGATTGGCAATCCAGTGTCGATCTGATCAGTCTTTTACTTCCCCTCCCCCAAGAGATGTGAGTAACTTTTATTTAAACATCTGTTTTATCTGGGGGGAAGAGGGGGAGAGAGAGAGAACACAGCACTAACTAGGGTTTATTTTTCTCAGTTTCTATTAGATATTGCAAGACAAAAAAATCAAACCCCTTTACCATTGATTAAGCCATATTCAGGACTTAGACTCCCACCCGACAGATACTGTTTAACAGCACCAAACTACAGACTTAAGCCTTTACCAAAAAAGGTGAGTGTTTTGTGATTCTTTTTCAAAAAGAAAATAAGTATTTCCAGAATAGTACCATTTATCCCATAGTAAAAAAAAATTACTAGGCATTAGCTAAAATAACTTATTAGTACTTAAAATTATTTTAAAATTCTTTCTAGCCAACTATTCTTTTGAAAGGAGGCAGTGTGATGTAGGAGATGGTAAGCTCAGGAAGGACTTTGTTCTTGAAGCCCTGGATCCCAGTCACACCTCTGACCCATCCCAGCTGTGTGACCCTGAGCAAGTCACTTACTCTCTCTCTCAGAGATCTGGTTAGTATTCTTAGAACTAAAAGTTAGAGAGAAGGTGCCAACCTACATTGGTAAAGGGAATTTCCTTACCCAGGAGTTCTCTAGACTAATGAAACTATCCCTATCCTACTGAAGTATATTAAGCTGTATAACATTAGGAGCTGGGCCTACTTTAGGCTATAGTCATTATAAGAGATGAAAGAAAGCTTGCTAAGCTTCCTTTAAATCATGCTAATTATTCAGTCCTAGGAAAATGAGGCCCATGCAAGGGAAGGAACTCACCTGAGGTCACAAAGCTAGCTAGTGAGTCCCAAAGATGGGATTTGAGCCCACCTCTCTTGATTCCAGGAAGGGCCTCACTACCATCATCATCATCATCATCAGGATATCTACCTTCCCTGCCTGAAGTGACATCATTGGACATGTCCTTCAGTTAAGGTGTTCACTGATGAAAATGCAAATACAACCTGTCTAACATTGTGAAAATAGAAGCCCTCCTGAAACTGTACTACAGTATCTAAGCGGAGATTCAACTAAATTCCACAAAGATACATTAGGTACTAACCAATCAATAAACATTTATTAAGCACCTACTATGTTCCAGTCACTGTGCTAAGGGGATACAAAAAGAGACACAAGACAGTCCCTGCCCTCAAGAAGCTTACAACCTAATGGGAGAGCCAAAATGCAAGCAAATATTTACCATGTGCTGCATGCAAGACACTAGGGATAAAAAGACAGAAGTGAAACATTCCTTGCCCTCAGGAAGCTTATGTTCTACTGAAGTGATTGACATAGCATGTTCATAGAAAAGAAAATATCACATGATTTGAGGGAGGGGTACTAACACCTGAGGAGATCATGGAAATCTTCCCTTAGGAGGGGACGCCTGCCCTGAGCCTTGAAGTAAGAGTACATCTGGGGATAGGGCACAATTTGGACACATTCAGAGAAGCAGTAGATGGAATGTTGAACTCGGGGAACACACCAGTAGTTGAGTTTGGCTGGAACATACAGTACATGAAAAAGGAGTGAAGGCTAGAAAGGTAGGTTGGAGATCGTAGAGGACCATAAATGCCAGGGTGAAGAGTTTGTATTGTATCCTAGAAACCAATAGGGAGCCACTGAAGGTTTTTGAGGTGGTCAGGGCTGTATAGCAGGAGGATTATTCTGCCAGCTGCATAGAGAATGGATGGGATATGAGAGAAAATGGAAGCAGGAAGACCAATAATCCAAGCAAGTGATACAGGCAGTTTGAGTGGAAAGACGATGATGAGGTAGAATCAACAAGACTTAGACCAACTTTGGCATAGGGAGGGAGAGGAAAGAGTAACAAGGGCCGTGCAGTTACAAAAGTGGGATGGCTTGGGAGGATGGCGGAGCCTTCAAAATTAATGTGGAAATTTGGAGGAGTAGATTTATGAATGTATTGAGTTTGAGATGCCCATGGATTTGATCATCATCTCTACGCAGTTGACTCAAATCTATATACACTCTGACCTGGAGTCCTGCATCACCAAATGTCTGCTATCTATTGGACAGAAACTGGATGGCCTAGAGAAATCTCAAACTCAGTGTGTCTGAAACAGAATTGTCTTTTCCCCTAAACACCATCCTGCCAGTATCTCAGGTGTGTAATCTCGGCATTTCCTTGACACCTTGCTCTCCCTCACCCACCACACCCAGTTAGTTGCCAGATCTTGCCATCTCTATCTTCACATCTCTCGTATGGGGCCCTTTCCTCCACTCACACAGCTACCAATTTAGTTCAGGTTCTCATCACCCCTCACTTAGGTAGTCATCATTAATTGGCCTGATTGCCTTACGTCTCTCACCACTTCAGCCCATCCTACATACCACTGCCAAAACCAGTTTCCTTAAAAGCACAGATCTGACCATGTGACTCCCCTTTGATTTCCTGTTGCCTCTAGAAGAAAATATAAACTCCTCAACTAGCTTTGAAAGGCCTACACAACCTGGCCCCAACCTACCTTTGTACCCTCACCAGACATACTCCTCCTGCCTACACTCTGCAAGCCAGCTTTCTGTTCCTCACACACTATGCTCCATCTCATCTCCATGCCTTTGTACTGGCTATCCCACTTGCCTGGAATGCACTCCCTCCTCTCTGCCTCAAAATCTCTCTCTTCTTTAAGATCCAGCTCAAGCACCATCTTCATGAAGCCTTTCCTGATCACTTTGCTAGTGTCTTCCTTTCCAATCTACCTTGTATCGAACTATTTTGTATATATTTGTACCGATAGATTTCTATATGTGCTTGTCTCCCTCATTGGAACATATTTTCCCTAGGAGTAGGGATTGGTTAATTCTTTGTTCTTGTATTCCCAGCACCTAGCACAGTGCCTGACATGTAAGTAGTCTTAATAAATCACTAGTTGATAAGATTGAGGATGGCCAGACAAGCAGTGATTGATGTAGGACTGAAGTTCAAGAGAAAGTTTAATTCTAATTCTGGATATAGATTTGGAGGTCATCTTCACAAGGATGACTGAATCCACAGGAACTGAGGGAGATCATCCAGAGAGGACAAGAGTAGATAGAGAAGAGGGTCTAGAATAGAGCTTTGTAGGAAACCCACAATTGAGGGGTAGGAAATGATCATTGAGCCAGAAAAGGAGGTTGAGAAGAAATGGTCACATAGGGAGGAGGAACTCCAGAAGAGAAGTTATCCCAGAAGCCAAGAGAAGAAAGAACACTGAAGGGTGTGAGAGGTAGTAAATAGCATGTCTTGTGCCAGAAGAAGTCAAGGAGGATGACGACTGAGGAAAGGATGTCATATTAGCAGTTAAGAGATCACTGGGGGGCAGCTAGTTGGCACAGTGGATAGAGCACCAGCCCTGGATTCAGGAGGACCTGAGTTCAAATCCGGCCTCAGACACATAACACTTACTAGCTGTGTGACCCTGGGCAAGTCACTTAACCCCACTGCCTAGCCAGAAAAATAAAAAATAAAAAAACAACCACCACCAGGAGATCACTGGTAACTTGTAAGACAGCAATTCCAGCAAAAGCTGGAAAGCAACACTTGAGAGGGTGGGAAGTGAATAGATACTAAGGAAGTGAATATAGACAACTCTCTGGGAGTTTGGGAGGAGATATAGAGAGATATATAACACATATATATACACATACATATGTATATGTGTGTGTGTGTGTGTATATATATATATATATATATATATATATAAAACATGCAACTGCTTAAGGGCATGACAGGCTCAGATGAAGGATCTTTAAGGATAGGAAAAACCTGGACATGTTTATAGGCAGGAAGGAGGCAGAAGATGAGAGGGAGGAGCTCATGTTGATTGTCACAGGTTTTGGCTTTGTGTGGTTTATTTTTCTTTTTTTTTCCCAGTAAGTAGGACACAAGGTCATCTGCTGAAAGAAGATGGACTGAGGGCATTGGTGGTGATGAGGGCTTGAGGAAATTGGAACAGGCATAGCATGAGAGTTTAACAAAAAAAACTCGCTTACATCAGGAAGGACTCAGTTGAGATTAGATCAAAGGAATTTGTAATGGATCAAGTGTAAATAGCCATTTGAAAATATTCCTGGCATATTTGTGACTTGAGTTAAATGTCGGGGGGAAAAAAAAGATTAAAACAGGAACATTAAATAAAGGCTAGAGAAAGAAGAAACATAATTTTTAATGTAAATCTTTGTCATACCATGTTGGATTTGTGGATTACTTATAAAGAAAACATTCTTCTTTGTAAATTTTGGGGTTTTTAAACCGTCAACAATCCAGATGGATTTTAAGATGTCAAATCAGAATCAAGAATCGTGGCTTTTCTTTTTTTTCCAGGGGCCTGCTCCAGCTGGCAGGATAAGTGTTCCCCGTCTGAGTGTTGGTGCTGTTAGCAGCAGACCAAGCACTCCTACTTTGGGTAAGAGAAAGGAACTCCTAGCTTTCTCTGGATAGGAGCGTTTACTACAAAGCAATAAAGTTCTAATAAAGCATTTTGGAAGAATATTCTTAATGCTTGGATTTTATTTTTAGTCCAGGGTGATTGGAAAGCCCCCATGTGCTTATTATGACTTGAATTTTTACACACACACCCATGTCATTGTTTCATGAAGCTGGAGGTGAGCTTCGCATTATTTATGATAGTGGCCTTCAGTGGCCCCTGAACCACTCTGAGCTTGGAGAATCCCAGTGAAGGGAAGCCCTCTCGTCCCCAGGCAGGCACCCAGCCCAACTTACAGACGCTCTAATTGTTAGGAAGTTCTTCCTGACATCTAGCCTCAATGTACTTCTTTCCAACTCATACCCATTGCCCCTAATTTTGCCCACTGGGCCAAACAGAACCAGTCTAATCAGATCTTTCCTGCATAGGAAGAGTGCCTAAGTAGCCTTCAGATACTTGAGCTCTCATGTTCCCTCTAGGCCTTCTCTTCCTTAAGCTCTACATCTCTAGCACTTTCCTTCAGCGTCTCCTCCAAAGAATGTGACCACCCACCTTTCCCCAGGCCTGTAGGCCTCTTCTGGGGGTTCGGCAGCTTACCTGTTTCCTTCCTAAAATACAACACTCGGTACTGATCACAAAACTAGCTCAGGTCTGATTTACTTTATATTCTCAATGCCAGGGCCTCCTGAAAGTTTGTCCCATCTAAAAACAAGCTAACAAACTTAACAATGTTATGTGTTCTTTTAATGCTGTTAATGAACCAACCCTTCCCCAGATTTCTCATTACCTGTGCTTTGAAGATAGTAAAAAGAGAGAAATTGCTATGGATACTGGTACTAAGTCATCTAACTAATAGAATATGGTAATGTTAATTACAGGTACCCCATCTGCACAGACAGTTGCTGTTTCAACTAAAGTTGGGACCCCTGTGTCAGTGCCAGGTCAAAGGTTCACTGTGCAGATACCACCTTCTCAGTCTGCTGTTGCCAAGCCAGGTAATGAATCAGTCTGGGGTCACTATACCCCAGGTATTTGAGCACTTTGGATTCATGTCAATATTTGTTTCCCAAATAATGGCAGCAACATGTCTAATACGTCCTGTACTTGTTCTGAAATTCTCACAAAGCTTTGAGAAAACAGCTGTCACTTGATTGTCCCTGTGTGCAGCCCAAACACAGAACTCTTCAGACACGTTACTAATCTCACAAAAGGAACACACATTTCACATCATAAGAGATTCTTTAAAGATTAAATGTTTTTTACTAAGTCGAATCATTATGCTAGGAACTAGTGCCTCACTACTCAAAGGAACTCTAGTGTATCCGATTGTAAAGGAAATAATCTCTCACACACACACACACCCCCAGTTGGTGTTTTGTAAGTTAAGAGATTTCATCCCTAACTACTACAGGTTTGCAGTCTAATTCCAAGTGGGCCTCCCAGCAATAAGGCAAACATTCTATTCCTCCCTGGGTCCCAATTCACTATCTCACTCTGTATAGCTGTTTCAAACCTTGTCATCATTGCTCCTTGAGCTCCAGGCACCTCCTCTTTGTTAAGGATCTCACGTCATACTTCACCAAAAACAGTGAGGGTCCTTGAGCTCCCCCCATCTCATAGAATTCCAGCATGAGATAAGAGTAGGTCATCTCCCTCAGTACAGTCTGTGATGAAGAGGTGGTCCTGCGCTACCATCCCCTCCCATCTTCTTCAGCACATTATCATCTCCGTTCTTTCTCTAAGCTTCAGTCTCTCCCTAGCTGCTGACTTTCCCTGCTGCCAAAAACCATGGATGGCCATGTCTCCCCTGTCCTTAAACAACTAGTGAAAAAGGCAGGCTCTTTTTACCTTGAAATCCTATTCTTAATATATTTAACTCTGTTCTGCTTTGAGATCTCAATACCTGTTTTGGGTGTTTATGTTTTTATTTTCCAGCTGTTCCTGCAGCTCCTGCTGTTCAGAATGTTCTGATTAACCCTTCTCTGATTGGGCCAAAAAACATCCTCATCACTACCAATGTGGTATCACAGAACACCCCTGTTGAGTCGCCAAATGCATTGAAAAGAAAACATGAAGACGACGATGATTATGACAATTTGTAGACGAGGAGGATCATGACAGTTTGCAAATGGCGTCGTCTGATAAGCCTCGATGCATTTCTAAAGTATAAATAGATTGGAACGTAAATGTAATCATGTCAAATTCTCCTAGAAAACAAACAAATAAGTGTTTAAGTAAAAAGTAATGTAGTTGTAAAACTTTTTCTGCTGTTAAGATTGTTAAACTTTAGTAGGATCATGAATGTTTTTCATTAGAAGTTGCATGCAATCAATAAAGGTATAATTCATCAATTTATTCATCATTTCATTATGTTGGGAAGATGGAAGAAGGTCTATTAAATATTGAATCATTTACAAAGCTAAAGTAGTATGGAGTCGGTCCTAAATATGATTATGGTCTCTTGAAATTTTAAGCATGTTACCATTTTAGAAAAAACCTTTGGTCAACATCCTTACTTAGACTGCACCGATGTGGATAAGGAATTAAGTTGCACCCCCATACCCACAACCCCAACTTAGTAGTCTTTTCCTTGAATTCCTTAGCTCCGTTTTTTCAGGCCTCTGTTAACTTTTGCATTAAGTTATGGAAGCCCAAACCGAACATGGTGCTTAAGGGCCCAATATGGACAAAGAAGAGTAAAAGGTTTGCTTATGATCCAAAGCAGGTGGACTTTATAGTAAACCCCAAACTATAGCATTACACTGAGGACCTGTTTTTCTGGGTTTTTGGGGTTTTGTTTTGTTTTGTTTTTTTCAAATAAACCAATGTCACTTCACACTTCTTACATATCTTTGATAATTTATCTTAAGTACCACATTACTCTTTTAAGTAACTATTCTACGTGCCTGCTATTTGTTTGTATTTCGCTCAAGATCACCCTCAAGTCTTGTGATTTACACACATCCCTGAGTAGTCCATTTTGTATGAAGTTCATTCAAGATCTGTCCTTTTGCATAAAGGCAAAATTTCACCAAACCTTACATAGGTTTCAACAGTCTACAAACTCATACTGAGTTGCTGTTCTATTGTCCAAGTTGTGATGCTCACCTAGCTCTAAGTACATAGCATCTCCATTAAGTTTAAAGATGTTCTCAGACATAATACCAATATTGAACTTGGGGCTGACAAATGTGGGATAGCTATAATCCTTTCAGTTTCCTTCCTCCACACCTGGAGCAGTTCTCTTCAAGGTGGATTAACCCACCTGGCAAACCTACTCTAAACATATTAGTGATACTGTCATGTGGGATGAAATCAAATTCTTAAAGTACAAGTACATTCATTCTCTTGCCTCCTCGTTATCTACAAGTAAAAGAAAAAAATGCACCCAAATCCAAGTCCAATCCATGTCAAGCTTACCAAGAACAGATATGTTTTGATTCTCTTTGAACATCTCTGAAAAATCTTTTCAGATTCAAAGTTGCAATTCAAAAGAATTGATTCAACCGCCTTTGAGATGCAAGACTTCAATTTTTAAATAAAATCCATTCCAACAAATTTTAATTATTATTTTTGCAAGATAAATGACCGAAAAGTGTCATTCAAAATTCAAACTTGGAGGGCGTAACCAAACCTGAACTCAAAGGGAAAGAAATTTGTTATCATGTAGCAGAGTTAGTACCCTGCCCCTTTGATTTCTGGCTGAAGACCCTCAAGGAAGGCCTAGTAATGTTGAAGACTAGAAGGGACTAAAAATAATTAATCTGCAGAAGAGCAGTGAACTGCATTATCACAAAAATGTCTCAAGAAGGAATGAGTATGTGACTGACAAAGTTGAATGTCAAAAAAAAAAAAGATGGCAGATAAGCTAAGAGAATTATCAGGTGATAATGTGCAAATATACATTCTTACCAGCCTTTGTCAGCAGGTGTATTCCATCCCAGGCAAGAAATCAGCATCCCTATTTTTTAAGCCATGGTTCCAAAGTACAAATCCCATTCTGTTAGCCCATGATTCACATCCCAATTCAATTTTTTCTCTTCTGCATCCCTTGCCTTCAGTGGACAACAGTAAAGAAAACACAACCTGCACTCTTACAGTTCATAATTTAGCACCTAAGTCTTCACAATTCGTTTTAGACCCCTTTTATCACTTCTGTCCACATTAATCAACAAATGGGTGATAACTCAATCCATTTCACTAAGCCTCATATACAGGGAAAGACCAAAATTGTCTATTGTTATTAGATCATCAGACAAATAGTTAAGAACACCAAGCCCAGAATTGCCAACCACCACCCTTTGCTTTACTAGATGACCTGTTCCCCGATTGTTACTGTGGCTCTGTTGTAGCTTACTTGGAAGACAAATAGCTTCTTCCTCACAGTATCCTCCCAGCCCATTAAAAGCCTGTTTTCTACTAACTTTCTAACTCTCCTTTTCTCCTTTCTGTTGAATGTCTCATGGATTTCCTTATTCTTCCATCCTCCAAACTCCTGATAAAGGTCTAGTCTCTCCTTGGCCACTTCAGTTCCCCCACTTTTACCAGGTGAAAGACTTGATTCCATTTCCTTTGGTAACAGTTCAACATCTCTAACAACTTAGAATATGGAATCTTTACCTCCTTCCAGGAAGAACCTCAGTCTATACTTGGAACACACCCAACTATAGCAGAAACATTTGAACTCAATACAAAGCTGCAAAATACTCCCTAATCCCTACATGGGTTGAGATTTTCAGCCTTATTGTTTCACTACTTGTAGATTTATGTATCACCCCTACGCACTTTACCTAAAATCTTTACAACCAATTATCAAATTTGACCTCACAATTTTGACAGCCTCACTCAACCTCCCGTCCTTAGTCTCGACAACCAATCCTTCACCATACCCTACGCCTCTGTTTGGCCTTGCACCAACGGTTTCACCAATTTACCCCACCCGCCAATCCACTCATCACTCTGCTTCACTTACCTTTTCTTACCTCACCAACTGTTTGGCCTTGTCTTCCTCTTCAGGTCCTTGATCCTTTTCCTTTCCCTTTACTGTCAGCCGTCTCTCAGAGAAGGCAGAAGTAGAACCTGGAGCTGGAACTTTTTCTTTGCTTTTTCCTCAATTTCTCTTCCCCACATTCAATCTCTGACCTTCTTTATTAGTCCAAATTCCTCCAAATCACCTACACAATTTCCTTCTCATTCAACCTAAGTCCTTTTCCTACAGAACCTAGAAGTGGAAATGTGTCATCTTCTGCAGTATGAGGCTGAAGATTCTTAAGGTCCTTTCCAGTTCTAAAACAGTGATTTAATCATAACCAGATAAGGAAGAAAGGGACTCCACTCTCCTCAATCTCCCACCCTTTTTCTTAAATATGAAACACTTGACTCCCTACAATCCACAACTTAGTTTACATGGGGGGGGGGGGGCAGAGCCCGAAGGCACCACGGCCAGGGAACTCTCCTAGGAGTCCGGAAGACCAAAGTTCAAGGTCTGCCTCTGACACATTACTACTTGTCACTACCTTATCAGGTCTTGGCAACTCTTTCTGCAAAGGTGTTAACCTACACTGATGGGAGTTTCTTCCCACAGGAGCTCCCTATGCCAATGCATCACAGATCTAGTTCCTGTCCCCCCACCTATGTATTAGCCATATTGACCCAACCAGTCTGTAAGCTCTTCGAGAAAGATATACATGGAAAATATGACCCTGCATCCCTATGGTCTATAATTTTACCATGCAAAACTTTGCTATATGTACACACACACATATATAAATGTACATACATATATATGTATACATACACATATATGTACTATTTAGAGAGAATTTCCACCCCCTATACTGCCCACAGTGGTGAGCATAAGAGGTGTTCAGTAAGATTCCCCTTGACTCTTCTGTAGCAAATGAGTAGTTTCCTGTCTGGATCTTCTTCCCCTCTGTCATCCACACTGTTCCCAGCTCTGCTGGTTGGGGGTAAAGGCAGCATGGAAAGAACACTAAATTAGTTATTATATCAACATTGCTATTATATCAAATGAGATATTTGTAAAAAGCGCTAACATTGTTCCTGGCACATAGTAGGCGCCATATAAATGCTGCTTCTCTTCTCTTTCCTCTTCCCCCTAGTTCTGACTGTGTCACTGTGTGACCCTGGCATGGCACGTAACCTCTCCGAGCCTATTTCTCCAGCTGTAAAATGAAAGACTTGAACTCACAGTCAGCACCATAGCTCTCTTTTAGTTAGATCTACAATGGGATTATAGCCTGACCTCCTCAAGTTTCCTAGTCATGGAACACCAAAAATTCCAATTTTTCAAATTTGTTTTGTTTTCATATCCTTTCCTTACTCTTCAATAGCCAAACATCTCCTTTTTGTTCCAGCCAGTCCTGCCCCGTCAACTCGCCAACTCAGACATTTCTCTACATTCAGCAAAATTCAGCCCTCTAACTTACCCATCAGCATCCATCCCTCGGGTGGCCCAGGCCTCAGTCTGAGCAAGTAAATGGGAAACCACCGGAAGCTCTTTGAAAATGTACCTGAATACACTGAACTGTTCTAGTAGAAAATGGCAAAGGCAAATGGGCCCTTCTCCAGATCCCGCATGACAAAAAAAAAGAAGAAAGCAGTTTAATTGAGCTGGCACTTTTATGAAATGTTTATTTAACAGGCCAACCTTCCCTCCCACCCCACCCCAAACTGGAGTTTCTTCTTGTTTCCATACTGTGTGTGGGTAAGGACAAAAACAGCTGCTGACAAAGCTGAACAGAACAAACTATTTCAAGAGAGTATGGCTAACAGCGGCTTTAGCTTTGTTTTTTTTTCTTTCTAAAGGCAAAATATAAATATATATATATATATATATATATACTCTACAGATCACAATAATGGTTTAGACGTGCTAAATAAGTTCAAGTGAGAGCTGACAACAGGCACACCCAGGAAACACAAAGGTGAATTGAGCTGCTTCTGGGGCTCTCACGGCCCCATCTTCTGGCCACTGGTTGAATCTTGAGGGAGAAACTTGCCTAATGCCAAGGAAAGGGTCAGGAAGCACTGCAGTGTCACGTTGGAAGGGCCGTGCACAGGAACCAGCGGGCAGGAAAGTGGCATCCGTTAGACACTGCTCAGGGCGGCCACCCCAGGGAGGACTTTGCCTGGTAGGGGGAACGAGCACGTGGGAAGGTTACTCTAGGCCCTGTATTGGCCCTGCCCTCCTCAGCTTTCCCTGGAACGAATAAGCCTGGAACTGCTCTTCAGTCCATGCATTGTGACAGTGGCCAACTGTTTCACCTCCAAGTTTCCCCACTATTAAGCTGGATTATGATATAGCAGCACCTTTCCTCCACAAAGACTTCATT